AGGTGAGAGTTCTTTTGAAAATGATGTTCAACGTCCTAATCAAGAAACAGAGAAAACTTCAGAAAGTAAAAATCAGGATAGCACAAAAATTTCAGACATTGATAGTCCGAAAACAGATAAAACTTCAGAAAATGAAAACCAGATGGCTAATACAACAGAAAATGAAGGTCAAAATACACCCAAAACACCTGACAGTGAGAGCCAGAAAACCACGAAAACACCAGAAAGTATGAATAGATCCAAATCTGCAGCAAGTGGAGAGTTAGTTTTTGAAGCAAAACGAAAGAAGAAAAAAGTTTCCACAGATCCAGATTCTTATGAAGTAACATTTGTTGTTACCATAGCAATGGCAATTCCATCTAGTAAGTTCATTAAATTTTTAACAATTTCTTTACATAGTTCCAAAACATAAAGTAATAATTTACATTAATAAACACTCAATTAGATGTCTAAAAGTCAAGACTTCAGATCTTGTTAGAAACTTTGACTAAGCTTATCTCATTTAAAATATTGTGGGTGACCACTTGAAACCTCGTATATGTCATATTTGGTCATTTTGACTTTTTGGTACAGTTTGAAAGCTCGTAGAAGCGCGGATCTTATGATCAAAATTAATGAAACTTGGACAAGTGGTATGTTTTTTTTTGCCTCACCACTCTTAATTATTTCTTTTCCTTAAACATTTAAGAAGCTTATCCTTTCTATCTCTAGAAACCTAAATATAAGCTTATGTAAATAACGTTATCTGTAGATATTTAGACAATTCTGTCTGTAAATCGAACTTGAAATCTTTTGGTGTAATATTAAATTTAATGATATCCAAGCTATATTTGAATAATTAAAGAACTTTGATAACTTGTAGCCACTGTTAAAGATGCTGATGATTTAGCGGAAAATATCTCCCAAGGTACCCTCAATATTGTTTATTTTTCGCTTGTTGTTTGTTTTTATTAGTTTTTCCTTCTCGTTTGAATTCTTTTCTTGATTCACTTTAGTTTACTTTATGTGATGTTCTGTATTCTTACTTTTTCAATTGTTTTCATTTTTTTTTTTTACACATCACATTTTATTACGACATAAATGTATATTGATGTATTTCTTCCTTGTCTGTCCGCTTCCTTTATGTCAACAATTGTTTCTGACAGCACCAGGGTCTAGAGTTCAGTGGAATTTTGTTGTAATGATAATATTTCATGAATTATGCTTATTGCTTATGAGAATGTCTTCATATTATAAAACCCTAGAGTGAAAATTTTATTAATTTCATTGCTAATTACTACTGAAACTGAGAATTTTTCTAATGTATAAAGTAACATCATCGTTATGATAGACCCGACAGATTTCAGATCTTCAGTTATGGTTCTAATTATGGTACTATCATACATTTTGAGTGGAATATTTCAAAAAAATTGTTGGAAAATAAATTTATTGTAAACTTTTGATGTTGAAATTGAACATTTACTTTATTTCCTTATGTTGAATAATTCAATCTTACTAAAACAAAGCAATCTTATGTAAAACCTTTGTTTTGTGGATGGGAAAATCTGCTTAGTGACAGGAATTAAAAGAAAAATCAAAAATAAGTTCACAGATTGTTACTAGGAAAAGCAATGTAGAATGCTATAAACATTATGACTTTTTTTTGATGAATTTGAATCTATTTATTGATTAAAATGGATCAATCTCTGCAGAATGTTTTTTTATTTTGGTTACAGGGGAAGACGATCAAGTTAACCATGATGTCAAAGAACTGATGAAAAAAAAGAAAAGAACATTTGAAGCACCTCGAGCTCAGAATTATTACCATTTAGAATATTATATAGTTCCTGATGAAGATGAAGTGTTAAAAACAGATTGTGTGACATACGGTGTAGCTGCTAAATTATACATGGAACGTCAAGATCCTCGGGTTATTAAAACATGGCAAGAAGGAATGATAACTTGGGTCGCTTGGGCTAACAGGTACTCATAGACAATACAGTTCAACTGATGAGACATTATCTTGGTCCTCCCATTTTATATGCACATGAATTGCCATCATCCCTGTCCGTCGGTCCATTGGTCCGTCTTATTTCTTGTAGGCACGATAGAGCCTACAGTTTTTACGCAATCTTGATAAAACATGTATATGCATGTTTATTTTGAAGAGATCTCAGTCAAGTTTGAAATTGGTAAAAATCAGATGAACTATTTCAGAGTTATTTCCCTAGATTTAGTAAAACACATCAAATTTGCCAAGAAGGAATGATAAAGATTCCAGTTTTATGTAATCTAGATGAAACTTAGTTTGCATGTGTTTTGCTCAGTTGAGTTCTAATTAGGCATCAATTGGATGAACTGTTTTGGAGTAATTGCCCTTGACTTAATAAAAAACGTGTTTGATGTGACTTGTAGGCACGATGGAGACTACAGATTTTATCTGATCTTCATGATACTTGGTATGCATGAATATATTGATGAGATCTCAGTCAGTTTCGAAATCAGTAATAATCAGATGAAAGGTTTTAGAGATATTGCCTTTGTGTGTACCTTGATGGGCCTTGTTCATGTTTGAATTTGATAATAATTTGGTTTTGCCTTCACTCAAAAAAATATTTTTAAGATTATTGGAAAATTCATTTTAAAGTCACTTAAGACTTAGTTATCAATTCTGACAGCTGATAGTGGGTGTATGTTACCTTGCCTGGAAAGCTATCTTTTTTCTTCTGATACTTTCTACTACACGATATTAGTTGTTATTGATGCTTTTTTTTTTTTTTTTAACCATAACACTGTTCTACTTAACATCTAATACATTTTGTGACGTATGTCTACCACTTAGATCTTTTCTGTTATTATAAAATGCTTGAATCATTAATATATTCCAGTCATACTCTAACTATGAACAAAGAGATGTTATTAAAGTTATTTACTCATACTCTTGAACTACGTGTTTGGGATACCAAAGATAAAGTTTCATCTAGAGCCAGATTTGATAGACCAAAAGCTTTTAGATTACCTCAACCAAAACCAGGTAATATTTGTTTTAACCCTTTCAACTCTGGTAACTACACTAAAACACAATGTGTGATATATACTCTGCTGCTGGTGAAGGGGCAGTTACCACGTCATGTTGTATAAGTCTACCGTCCACAGCATTACCTGATGTATACCTGAGCGGCTGGTGAACATTATAGCAATGTCATACGCTTAATGTCACGTTTCTTGACGGGTATATGGTTTATTTCATTTACACTTAGTGCTCAAAGGGTTTAAGGTCAAGATTTATAGTGAAAGCTGTTCTTTCAACCAATTTCATACAAGATATGAGTATCTTACTTCATCACATTGATGTAAAATGTAAGAAGTGAAATTGGAAGAAATTTAGACATCATATATGTACTCACATACCTATTGTCAATTCTTCCTTTGACTATTTATTCTGTGTATTATAGGAGAGTCAGCTGAAGATGTTGGTGGTGTAAAATCAATGGTTTTAAAACAATCCAAAAGTTTCAGTCGATTGCAACCTAAGAAAGGTCCTCCAATACGATCCCTTCCTACCACAATAACTTACCATAAAACTCTTACAGCTAGTGCCAAGAGAAGACAATTTATTGAAGGTAACTAAGTTTCTTTCTTTCTTAATATCTTCAGTGCTTTTATTTGTCTGATTATTTAAACTGCAGAGCATGAGATCTAAAGAAATTTGAAAGTATTGATTGTCAGATAATTTCATCTACCAAATTTTATGTTTTAAATGTCTACAGTGATTGGAAAAAGTACCAGAAAGGAAGATAGCCACACCTTTTGAAAGTAGTATCTGTGATTTTTTTGGTTATTTAAGCTTTTAGAGGATATAAGAAAAACATGATTTAATTTTTCTACCCTTCAAATTTTTACTGTTTTATTTTAGCTGCTGAAGAGGATGCTATGGGAATGGCATTGGGAGATTCATTAAAAAGTCGAAGAGATTCACCCGATATTAGTATTTTGCAGAGTGATAAACCACGAAGTTCAAATAGTCCTCTAAGATCATCATTATCACCATCAAGTACTGTAGACCCAGGTTCACCTTTACCAGATCAGCATCAAGAATCAAGGTAACTTGACTATTCTAAAATCTTTTCTAACACCAGAACTGTGAACAGGCCTGATGTGGAAAGGTTGCTATTATGAAAAGGATACCAACCTTGAAATTTACTAAATGTTTGATTCAATTTCAGAACAGTGAATCGTTTGGCTCCTATTGCTGCTACCAGAACAACATCTTCAGCTACAAGAGAAGTTCGCTCTGTCAAATCAATGGCCAAAAATCGTACTATATCTCAAACTTCTACTATTAGTAAAGCACAACCTTCTTCTACATCCACCAATGCTAACAGATCTCGTGCAGGTCTTCATTCTTCTGCTTCTGGTGGTAAGCAATCATTTTTTATGTTTCCTTTTGCACTTATTAAAATATAAATATTGATGATAAATGTTGATATAAAATAAAATATTTGTAAACAGTGTAATAGATCTAGATAAATATAGATGTGGTTGATTATATTTTCAGCTGTATCGACAGGTGGACAACAAAATGCAACACCTTCTCCATCAAAACATAAAAGAAATAAAAAGGCAGAAGCTGCTGCCATGGAAGCAGCAGAAGAAGTTAGGAAGAATGGTATTTGTAAAGTACCAATACAGATGTCTTTATTATTTTCTGGTAAGTTATTCTTCTTCATATTTTTTGTTAAAACAAAATTTCCAAGATAATGAATTAAATTTTTTGAAATCTTTTCAATTCATCAATATATTTATAGAACTTTCTGCATGATGGAACATTTTTGTCAGAAGTCAAAGCAACATTTGTTAATTTGCATTCTGATTCTTCTGGGGCTTCCAATGTAAGATTTTATTACCAACAATGCATTGAAAAAGGATAAATGATTTCACAGTATATATAGTTTTGAACTCAATAATTCAGGATTAATATTGATAATAAAGAGTCAAGACTATTGTTTTACCTCACAGATATGAAGAGTGTAACAGGAAGGTTAGAGAATCCAGTAGCTGGTGTAGAAGATATCTTTATAACTGTATCTTTAGATAGTCCACTCATGTCTGACAAGATAAAAAAAGAACTGAATCCAATGATTATTAAAATACATTCAGCATCTGATTTACCAGATACACCTCTATCTTATACAGAATTAAAAAACAAGTAAGTCTATTTTTTATCTTTTGAAATATTGACATACACTGAACCAGAAAATAGTGGAAGGTTAAGCATTAAGTCTTGGAAGTTAAATGACCCAAAACTTGGCTTTTTAACCATTGTAGCATGTCTTATAGCTGGTAGATAAGATCAACAGATTATCCTTTCTGCATTGTAATGTTGTTTGTATTTCAGATGTCATCCAGCCTACTGTAAATACAAATTTTTTAAACAACCAGAACATATTAGTGTTGGAAAGGAACATGATAGAACAATATATTGGGATGATACTAATGTTGTTTTATTGGGTAGGTAGCTGGTCCTAATTGGGAAAATTAAGCCTATTGGACAAGCAAGTGAAATTCAGAAAGATTTTATCGATTATTCTTTAATAAATACTACCTCTCAGAATGAACATAAAATTCAAATTCTCAATTTTGGCCAATAAGAGTACATTAATTTATCAGTGGACTTACCTGGTTTCAGAACTATTCAACAGAATTCTTGTATAATCTGATAAAACTAAGTAATTATAGCCATAAAACTACAAGTATTCAGTGAAAAATCCATTTAAAGAATTACTTTGTTTTTTGTATATTAGATTATTCAAGGATTCTGTTGTATAGTTATGTAGTCCACTTAATGGGAATTTTTTACCCTATTCCAGGTCATCTAGAGAAATCTGAATTACGTGAGTTTTTAAATGGTCCAGCATTAGAAATTGAGGTACATGATAGGGACAGAAAGAACCAAGAAATAAAATTGAAACCAACATTATTTGGTGATGATTTAGAAGATGAAAAGATTAGTAATGTTGGAACTGTAGCCAGTATGTTTTCAATTACAATTCTTCCCTTTTAAACCTTTTTACTGGCAGTATATATCTATTCCACACTGGAATGAGTAGAACCATATTGCTTACAGATATCTTTTGTTGCTATACTCCAAAAAAACATATAACGTCTTGATTTAGGGTGAATGAATATGTGTCTTTAAGATTTTGAATATTATATCAATTTTTTCATGAGAACCCTTTACTTTTAGGTAGAAGAACAGTTCATAATCCATTTCATGGTAGAAACAAACCTTGGGACCCGTATGGTGTAGCTAAAGTCAGTTTATCAGAATTATTACTAGGTCATCGTTATTTACATCTTAAAATTCCCATACATAACTGTCAGTTACCTGATGTATTGGGTAATAATTATAATAAGAATGGTCGTATTGTAGGTGTAAATGGAGCTGTAGATGGACCAGGTAAGAACTATTAAAGACTTATTTTTGGATGAATATTGCTCTCTGCCCATCTGTAAACATTTTCTGACATCAGAAGCTAACATTTTTTCAAAATGATAAGATCTTGAACAAGTTTGAAAATGACAATTAATGTTAGATGAACAGTTTTTGAGTTATTGCCCATGTCGTAGTGTAAATATGTTTAAAACAGCTTGCTGGCATGATAAAAGTTTGAGTTTTCATCACTACATAATGAGAGAGGAACTTGCTGGTGTCACATATTCAATATGTTTAAGAAAATTGAAGGTTGTCAGTATATGATATAAGTTTGTTAAATCACTCACACAATGGATAATGTTAGCCATGATCAAGACATGCTGTGTAAAGACTGATTGCATGTTACAGACCATTATCAACTATACTGATCATGTAATTAGTTTAATAAATATTTAATTAGTATTGACTAGTTAATATAAATAATACAACAGATTTCTTTATACCGGTACTAGTAATTGATTTACAACATTAAAAATCAGATTTCAGATTCTGTATCATGTGATCTATCAGATTAGAGAAAACCTAAAAGACCTCCTTATGTTGCCTACACTTACATTTTTACCCATTAAAAACGGTTATTCTCTGTAAGATATATATTAGTCTATAGTACTCTACCGTTATTCTAAATGTCATTAGTCATTAAAAAGAAGAGAAAAACTATTCTCAATAGCATCTCTTAAATTCATCAAACTTTTTGACAAGTTGTTTTGTTCTATAGTAACTTCTGTAGAAGTTTTAAGTGACCTTAACTCAGATATGGTCTTTTTTTAAAAAAATTTTTATTGTGTGTTTGTGTGTGTGAGATGGTATGGTGTGCCAAATTAAAAGATATGCCTTAAACATATGGTGCCCTTTTAACTGCAGCTCAATGAAAGGGATTCCAATGTTAACATGTATCGGAGACGCTTATGGCTGCTAACTGTACCAGCCAAATTTCTTTCAGAGGTCAGATTATGACCTATTGACCTATCTTATTCAAAAATTGATTTTGAATTCATAATGTTCCCCAATATACATCAAAATTTGAGAAACTTTTGTAAAAAGCCATGAAAAAATGAATCCTACTTATTTATCTAGTTGAGACACCATTACCAGCAGGACACTATTTACACCATAATAGTATGTTAAAGATTAAAATAGAACTAGCTGTACCCTTAGCTACACCAGATGATATTAAAGCTAAACAACATCTAGAGACAACTTTCGAGGTAATTTTAGTTTTTTGTAGTCTGTCTCTGTTGAAAGTAAAAGTAATGTCTTCATTTAATTCTAAAAAGGATAGCATTTGCTCCACACAGTATAATTCTTTCTAGTTTTTTCTACAATGGATACATATATAGATACATGATGGCTAAATTTTTGCACCTTTAATTAATCTAGGAATTCTAAGGAATATAGAAGTGAGTTCTTGAAAGAGATTATTCTGATATTCTACTTCCTATGAATAGTTTATGTGTTATTGATCTGCCATGACTTTTATATTTATGTCAATATTGGAACGTCTTGTTTGAGTTCAACCTCTGATTGATAATAGTACTTCAGAAATAAGAATTTATAGCTATGATAAAGTTATGTATAAATGTTTGATAACTTGAATGGAAAGTGGATGCCAGCTTTATGAATTGTATCAAATCCTTTATTCCATTGTCCACAAAAATATTTTTAAATGGTTTTTTTTTTTAATTTTTGTATTTTTATGTCTGTGGTGAAGATAATCTTTGAACTTCAAATGTTAATAGAAAGTCTGATCTCAAAATTGTCCATTATTACATTTATATCTTTTTCTTCATTATAACAATATGTTTAGAAAAATATTTTTGAATTGCCGCACATTATTATTTTAACATAACTATAGCTTTTTATTAAAATTTTCTTCTATACTAACTTTCTTTTCTACTTAGTAGAATGAAAACTGATGCCAAGTTTAGACCTTATGCTTGACTTTTAAGGAATTTGTGATATTTTAACACCATAAACTTAAAATTCTGTCTGTTCTGTAAAAGTAAGGAATAGGCTAGGGCTTGATATTGCTTTAAAGTTAAAAAAAACATAAATTTTCTTACAGTGTCCATATGGTCGTATAGTTTATATATTTAGCTACCATAATACAGCAATATTAAATAACTTACATAAAATTATCACCAATATTAATGCTGAAGCTCTAGAATTAAACAATATGCCACAACATGTTATCAATGCTGCTTTATCAACTTATAAGTTATCCTTGTAAGTATTTCTACTCTAGTTCATATTCTTATACAAAATGAACCATAGATGCACAGCTTGGAATTAGATGTTTTAGCACCATAACACTTTGTGCAACTTTATACCACTTTGCAGATAGTTTTGATTACCTCAATACCTCTTTCTAGAGAGTTCACCTATTTGATATGAATATAATGTGAATATACAAGTTTCTAAAAGTAATATTTCTGGCTGATATTTGTTGCAGGGAACAACAAGAAAGTCGTGAATTAGATATAGTAACTGGATTTCAAGTTATGGATGGAACTCATCATATCTTTGTATTGGAAGGGTTAAGAGATAGAGCTATCAAACAAATCTGGAATAACGTGAGAAAAGAAGAAATTTCAGGTGAATATCTGCAGAAATATACATTTTTTGTTTCTCTTATAGATAATTGAGAATTGACCTTTTTGCCTTAAATAAGACAGACACATCACTTTTTTCATTTAGAATTTTCTTGATTATTTTTTTCTAAAAAAAGTCAAATGTTCTATTAAAAATGTAACAAGAATAATTTCTCTTTATAACAATACCCTAATTCATATTTCTCTGTTGTAGATATGAGGATATTGTATAATTCGGATATGAGCTTTAGTCACAGGCTATACCGAGCGCTGGATGTGGACATATGTCGAGTTAAATTACATGAATCATTATCAATAATAGCACAACAATCTTTATTATTTGTACGGGATATGGTACCTAAATTATGTTTTCACGCCTTAGTTAAACTGCAACAAGTAAGTCATTTGGTCAATAGATAAGTTTATTCATATAGATATTCACTTCACGGTATATAAAGTCTACAATTACACACTTCATGGTATATCAAGTCCACAATCACACACTTCATGGTATATCAAGTCCACAATCACACACTTCATGGTATATCAAGTCCACAATCACACACTTCATGGTATATCAGGTAAACAATCACACACTTCATGGTATATCAGGTCAACAATCACACATTTCATCGTGTAAGGAGTCAACACTAACACACTTCATGGTATATCAAGTAAAAAGTTACACACTTCATCGTATATCAAGTAAAAAATCATACACTTCATGCTATATCAAACCAAAAGTCGCACCTCATGGTATATCAATTCAAGAATCACCACTTTATTTCATCAGCTATCTCTCACCTTATGATAATTTGTAAATGATATTTTTTTTATTGTATATGTCTGATATTTCAATTTCTTATTTTGAACGATTTTAGTTATCTAATACTGAAAAGTTACGAGATGCTACAAGGAATGATTTATTTCCTACAGCTGAAATGATTATCTCTATGAGTAGGGAATTTGGTGTTCCTTTCACTGCTGAAGATTTTGAAGGTGAGCTTTGAAATTTAAATTTTTATAGGTTTTGTTGTATTGATTTATTTTTTATATATATCATATGATGTATTTTCTACGGAGCCCCTAAGGCGCAATTGTAAACATATTTATTTATTATTTTGTTTGAACGAATTAATTTTTTCGTCTATTTCGTTTAAACGAAATAATTAACCCATCTTTTTATTTCGTTTGAACGAAATAATAAATAAATATGTTTACAATTGCGCCTTAGGGGCTCCGTAATTTTCTGTCCAAAAAGTCATTTTTTATACTTTTAAGTCCCCTGTTTTTATTTTGCATAATACCAAGTGGGTAAAGAAACATTTATACAAAGCAGGACAAGTCGGTACCAACAAAAAATCATTTAATCATTGTTCAAACTAACAAAACATTACTAAGCTAACCAGCACATGTTAATGAATAGTCCTAGGCCCGTGCTTTCTATGAGTTAAATTCTCATTTGACCTTAACACTGATCTAGTCAATTTTTCAGATCTGGTGGATTAGCCTTTTAACAACCAAATAAATCAACAAATTGTTTGAACAGTGTGACACAAATTTTGAAAGTCAATACATTGATTATGTATTATTTTATCCAGAATTGCGGCCAGAATCCCAGATGAAGAAGACGCCACCAAAAGATTTGAAGCCTATAAGTGAACTGGGTACAAGTAGAAATTGGACTCCTATAGATCAGTATAATCATGAATACATTACAATGTTAGCTCAGAAAGAAGGTAGACAACTCACAATAGATTTTATACAGGATAATAAGGTATGATTCTTCAGTCCATCTTGAAACAGAAACACAATCAATTGACTTGTAAGTGCTACCACAAATCTCATAGAATGATGTATAGCATCGGTTATTGCTATATTGGAAAAAACAGACTAGATGGGAAAAAATACCTTTGATGATAAAATAATTTTAAGATCTGATTCTACTAATGACTTACCTAATGCATGGAAAATGCGTCAACCAAATAATGTTTTCACATATTTATTGCAGGTCTCAGTGGAAAACCAAAGTAGAAGAAATCGTAAAGATAAGGAGAGAAATCAAAGATTGTCCATTAGAGCTGATGTAAAAACAGCTCATAACTATAGTTCTCAAACACTTAATTCTACTGATTTAGGCAAAGAAAAACTCAGGAAGGCTTTATCAGCTGTAAGTTTCAAAAACATTTATCTTTTGTCGTCATAATATATATACTTCAAATTAGACAAGTATTAATCTTTTCATGCTATAAGTACATCTTTAGGACACTGGGTTGGAATTGCTAAACTGAACTCATTGAGAAAGAGCGAAAGATGCAGCAGGTGTTTAGATAATTTCTACCTGCTCAATTGATTGTTTATAGCATTCTTGATTTGCCATTGTTAGATGTATTTGTCATGTTCATGGAACTGATTCATTATTCTATTTACAGTATCCAGATAAAAGGTATACATATTGCCAAGATTATCATTATTCTATGACTGTTGTCCCTGTTAACGTGGAGGAATTAAAGAAGATGGAGAAGGAAGAGTCCAAATCAAGATGGCAGACAGCTGGAGGCTGGATATATCCTGGTATGAAACCAGCTTTAGACAATAATCAACATCCTCAACAGTTAAACAATGCAAGAAGATTGTCTTTATCTCAAGTGAGTTGATTACAAACCAATCAGTGTTTATATTGTCCTATCTTATCATACTCCTGTTATGGGTTAATTTAGAAAATATCTCTAATCCACACTGAGTACTGTTCAGAGACCATATTCACTAACACTAAATACTGTAATCTGATTGGTTGTTATTACTAAATTTCATCTCAAATATTTTAGTGACTAACTTATGACTTCAACACTTGAATCATTTTATGGTTTTGTTAACCACCCTTCATCTTGTTTAAATGAAAAGGGTACTATAGGTACTTACACCCTATTGTTAATATTTCAAACCTTCACAGCAGCTTTCATATAAACTCATAAATAGGACATTGACTCACCTTGTAACTGACAGGTGTTGTTTATGAAGACAGGACATGTTCTTTGTTTCAATCTTTAATTCCAATTCTGATCTGTGTTTCTCAACGAACACTACGAAATCCCGAAACTGTGTGGTCCGTTGCCAACAAAATTCCTAAAGGTAGACCAATCATTTCTGATTGTTCTAGCGAATCATACCGAGTTTCAGAATACATAGATTACTTTTTACTGCCACTAGCATGCAAACACCCTTCTTATCTGAAAGACACAACCGATTTTGTTGAAAAAATCAAGAAATTGGACATTCCCGAAAACGCGTATTTCATTTATTTGGACGTAACCAGTATGTATACCAACATTGACAACAGTGGAGGTCCTACTTGTCGCACATGTGAACACATATATGTTACCCATTTTTTGTCAAAAATAACAAGAACGGAAAATTGTTTACGATGAATAACCTAATTTCTTGCAGAGATCAAATATCATATACCTAATTTCTTGTAAAAAAGGCGATGTACAATATGTTGGCGAGACTCAAAATGCGCTTCGAACGCGATTCAATGGCCATCGCTATGATATAGTGCATGGCAAGGATAGACCAATTGCGAATCACTTCAACCTTCCTGATCATTCCATTGATGACCTTCTCATCATGCCTATAGAAACAGTTTCTACATCACCTAGCTTAGACGTCTACAACGCGAAAGTTATTGGATCGATCAACTGCAGACTGTGAGGCCAAATGGACTCAACATTCAACATGATAACCAGATAATACCCTTTATAACGACATTTGATTCTACAGCTACCAAAGCCTCCATAATAGTCAAACGCCATTACTCGGAACTTCAGAACAAATTTCCCCATGTATACACAAAACGTTTGGTTGTAGCTTACAAAAGAAATCTTAGCAATTTCCTCTTTCACGGTAGACTTGAACCATTGAATAATGTCCATTCATCCTAGGAGCATAGATGTCTTAATATAAATGTATCATGTTATATCAATAAATTAATCCATTTCTAAGTTAGATTTCAGGGAATACTTATTTCAGGACTGGTGCCATGGCTATATACAGTATATTATATAACATGCAGTGTATTTTTGTGTTTGTGTCTTTTCAACTAAAATCATACTAATGACTAACTAATTTTCACATAATTAATAGACTTATCTATTGCTCTGTGACCTAGGCCAGTGCTTTCATTGAGACTCGTCTCAATACACCCTAACACTAAGTAACTTGAGTTTGGACATTGTGAAGTAAAGCAAGACCTATTTGAATCAATTTTCATCTTTGATATATTTTAATTTCAGCCATGGATTGAAAATATTCTTCATGCCAATGAATTAAAAGCACCATTAAATAGAGGGAGATATCCATGGGATTATCGAGGTTATGATTTGAATCTATATCGTCGGCCATTACCCTACTTTAATCCTAATGATCCAATAACCATACATCTGGCTGGTGACAAACTATATGATGAAACTACTCGAAATAAACAAGAAGAACATGATCTTTGGAGATCCAAGATTGTTGTGTCTGAAATAAATCCAAGATTTCACCGTTGCTTGCCTGAAACAGAAATGACAGAAGCTGGTTTCAAATCCAGTAACCAGTTGGATAGACTTCAAGGTCTTCTGAAAGATACTCCAGATAAATATTCCTTGTCTAAACCAGGACTTATGATTAAACCAACACCACCATTGAACGTGGTACTCAATCCTCTTGTTGATTCTCAAGCTAGATTGGAAGGGAAAGTTATGGAGCCTGCTTGTCCTAATGAACATACAGATTATAATCAAGGTTTTGTTTCTGGGCCATTTGAACATCGAAGTTTTAAATTAGATAGAAATGTTATTCCTGCCTTTAATTATAATCATATGAAATACAACAGAACAAAAGGAAGTGATTTTAAGTAAGTGTCTTTTTAAAGTCTTTTTTTAATTCTATGGTAGGAGACAAACTCCATTGCTTAAGATACTCTGTGATATATAGAAAAGACATATATACAAATAGTGAGTAAAATTCCTAGTTTGAAGTATTTTTAAAGAAATTATGGGATTTTCGTACATTTCTAGTACTTCTAAAGACTATTTACATATATTAAGGAATAAAATCAACCCCCCAAAATGGAGACCTGTCCCTTTAAGACAGCGGTTTTCAACCTGTTTTTGTATGTGTCAGCATGAAAATGATGTCCCCAAATATCGAAAGCGTATCTATGATTGGATACCAGGCACGTTTTCGTATAGTTTGATAGTAATAATTCTCCAAGACAATGTTAATTTAGACTGTATAGTGTAGTCATCATACGAGATATTGTATATATTGTAGTTAGAAAGTTTTTATTTTTCACAGCATGTGACTGGATGTGACACATCAAATGTCCCCAAAGAAAAGTGCAAATGTCCCCACCTTGGGACATGTCCTTGTGGTTGAAAACCTACGCTTTAAGACATTGGTGCTATTCTACAATTTTTTTTCTTTTCTTAGCTCTTTTTTAATATGTTATATTGTTATAGCAAGGCACATATCTACTGAAAGAAAACTGATATAAGCTTATTTATTAAAAAAAACAGTATACTGGTTCAATAACTAGTGTCGAAAATAATGATAAATTAAAAAAAAAGGTCTCAAATTGGTTTAAATTTGAATTATTCTCAAAATTGAATATAAAAGGAAAAATCAATGTATAGGTGTATTGCTTTCAACAGAATCCTATCTTCTATCTAGTAAGTTTGCTTGTTGGGAAATTCTACATTAATAGATCATAAAACACAAAACCATGTCCAAACCTATAATGTTGTGCATTTGAAAAATTCTATATTATGTGAAAATTGAAAATAGTAAGACCATTCTCTTTAAGTCTCATTGCACATTGTATGGCAAGGTCTGTTTTAATTTATCCATAATTTATTTCTGTTTTTCAGTGTATATCACACAGAACATCAAGTATTGCATCATAAACATATTGAACCTTTACAAGAAGGTGAGAGTAGTAATCATTTATTTAGGATTCCATATGATCCTGATATACATGGACCGTTAGATATACCAACAGAATTTCAAAAGGTTAATAATGCTGAATCCACCATGAAAGAAAGATCAGGATTGTTGGCTCCTATTAATATGCAAGTGAAGAGTACCCAAGCTGAAAGTATTGCTGTTTAGAAACAATGAACACCAATGGTTAACCGGGAACATGCTAATGAATATGTTGTGTTATTTATAAGACGTGTTGTGTAAAATTAAGATATACAAGCTGTTATGTATTGGAGGCAATTCAATGAATGTCTGATAAAGTATGGAAACTCGAGAGTTAGAAGTTGAGAATTTTTGATGAATTGCAAAAGATACTGTGAAGGTAATGAATGAATTAGGTAAGGAATCATATAGCTTGTGGATAGAAAGATGATCACTAGCAATATTAATGCTAGAGAGTTAAGGTTTTACGAAAGTTTTTTTATTTTTATATGTGACTAAAAATATAAGAGAAAACTGTAGGGTATGATAATTTTTTGCTTTCATATGAGTTTTATTGACCACCATTTGATTATGATGATTTTATTTATATATGTCTATTCCACAAAGTTTAAAATAATTTTCTACCCAGAATGTACATTTCTAGTTTTCAATGATTTGCACTAACCAATGCTTTCACTTCTAATAGAGGATCAACTTTTCATTTTGAAAATATACCAAAGATAACATTATTCCTTATCAGAAGCCAAAATACTTTTGTTTGAACTATTTAAGATAGTTTGTTATTTATTCACCCAATTTATAGAAAACGATAGTAAAATGTTTCAAAACAGGCCTTAGTAAAAAAAATAATAGTGAAGGTAGGTTTTGTCTGTGAAATGATTGATATTTATCTGTGATATTTGTTAAAATCTCTTATATATTACAAAATTAACACTTCTAATGAGTTTTTGCTTTATTTCTATCTTGTGTTATTAAAACAACCAAAGTGTATACATTGAAAATACCCATCCATAATAGTGATTTTCTGTTGAGAAATCTTCGTGTATAAACTGAAATTTGGATCAAACTTAATAGTTCATGTTTATTGGTATCAGCCCAACATTTGGTGAGGTGTCACATACCTAACATTTATTGTTGAGACCTTGTATCAGCCTAACATTTGGTGAGATCTTAGATGAGACAAAAATCTGATATCTATCAGACCAAAGTTGAATCTTTTGCTGGAATGTGCATATGATCACATTGCGATTTTGAAGTTATATATCTATCTAATCGTTGTTGGCCATTTCTGATCGTAGAATTATCCTGAAATACGTGTTTGGATGAGATGTTTGGATACATTCTGATACGAGCAATAGATCAAATAGGATATCAATACAATCTTAACAGAGCGTGGTAGCTGTCCCGTGTTTACACTAGACCACAATTTAAATGAGTGTTTGATCGTGGTGGAATCTTGATGATTTTGCCACGATTTGACGCCAAACACTGAGATCGTCAACATGCGTTAACCGAGAGTAACAGTTACAGACCTTGATGCACCATCGTAGGTTATCTTGATGAACTTGGGGAAAAATTCCTGAAAGGTTCACTATGTCCACAACACTTAGGAAGGAAACATCTATAGTTTTTTTTTAGATTAAAAATATGCCAAAAAGGGAAGAAGGTCAGGTAGTGGCGTCTGAAGAAGTCCAAGCATAAGTCTCTGAAGAGGCAGCATAAAAATTGGCCCCACAGGAAGTTTCCGGATATGTCGACTCCAAAAATACCATTGTCATGGAATCGTGAGGGGGCTGCCCTTACTTAATTTCAAACCCAATTTTGCTCAAATCGTGGCCATAAATCACCAGAGGTCGTAACCGAGCTTCATTGTCGTGTCATATAATACATTGTTGAGCTCTTTTTGAATCATGGAGATCGTAGACCATGATTTCAATTGTGCCAGGATTCGTGAAAGTGGAAACCTAGCAATACAAAAGAAAAAAAACGTACAAGGTAAACATATATTGCTATCTTTAGTTATCTACAGAATAACTGGACAATATATAACATTTATATACACTACAGGATAATATTAGATCTAGTCGTCGCGTAGTTCAAATGAAACAGATCATTCTCCCTTGAAACAAGACAGTTCAAGTACGATCTCTAATGTTTTGACAAGAATGAAAAAATCAAACCAACTGTCCTTGTGACAGATTACAGATCTTACAGCATCAGCGATTGGACAGAAGCCAACACAAGTGTGTCAGAAATCACACACTGTCTTCTATAAAAAGTAAAACTCCTAAACATACAAAATTTACTATTAACACGTTTCTCCATAGATAAAATCTGTGTTGTTGATTTTAGTGAAGCCATAATACCATAAATAATCTTTAATATGTCTGGGACCACAGTTACCAAATGTACCATTCCCTTCATGGCGAGGTTAAAAAACATTGGAAAATACCTGTCGTCGGCTTGACCGAGTTGACTTGGAAGAAAACATGTTTTATCTAATGATACTAGTTCGAGAACATTGCTTCAATATTTCGTCTTTACAAATGTACAGATCTTCATCGTACATTTTGTTGTTTCCAACGCACAAATCGATATCGAAAAATTTTTATCACCAAAAACATCCTTCAGGTTTCAGAAAACAAATTTTATATCTTATATATATCTGATTACTGGCAACAAGAACAAAATTCTCACCAAAGACCAGCAGTTGGTATTATCACACTTATACCCTTTTCGAAGAAGTCTAACCTACTGAAGCTGTTATGTTGGATACGTCGCATTCTAAAACCATTCATATTGTTCTTTCTTTCATACAAAAGTAGGAGTAGTTTTTTCACTTCCATTCCAAGGAACCTTAGATTTTTCTCCGACAACGCGGACGACCGCCAGTAACGATTCCACCAAACTTTCTCTGAATTGTTGACTCATTGTACAGTACATCACAAAATTAATAGCACTGTTGATTAGAGCAATAGCGTCGATGAGGTCACTTAAAGGAAGGTATACATCAACGAAAAACCCTTGAACACACGCACACAAAACAACTAAAATGCTCTGTGGTACCTCCGAAATGATATACATAACAATGACTGCTAATAACATTAAGGTTGTCCTTCGATGTGCGTGACATTTATGATTATCGCCCTTTAACCTACTGCCTCGTCTGTCACTTTCACGAAGTGTATGGAGAAGAAACCCACCAAATATTGAAATCAACACGCAGGGAATAATTTTACCAAAGACTGGATAAACCCAGAAATTGAGGATTGCCATGGAACTTGTTTCGTTCGTTAAACTTAAAGAATTTAGTCTGTACATGGAGCCATTGTGCTCCTCTGAAAATTCTTCGTGTATGCCAGTTACAAAGCAGTTTGGAATGATTAAAATGGCGGAACCAATATATGTCATTACTATAATGATTATGGCTGATCTATTCTCTGAATTTTTTCTGTTATTAGGAGTAGCATTTCTAACAAAAACCCATCTCATTATAGCCATGATTACTCCCAACCAAATAGATACCGTGTGGGTTGTTAACGTCAAATTTACGTGGATGGCCATAAACACCGACCAACTAAATGAGTATTTTGATGGTGTTGCCTTGATATCATTAGCTATATAAAAGTGAATGGCAAAAGGTATATAAGATAACATTGTAACTAAATCGGCAATAGCGATTCCTGTGAGGATACAGTTAATTGGAGTTCTCATTGACTTTTTTGTCAGCACGGCAATATTGATAAAATTGGTAATTACACCAAACAAACACACTATAAGACTGTAATAACCATGGACATACCAGTAACATTCTCCGAAGCTTTGCAACGGACGTGATGAGTTCCAAACACACATGATGGTAACTGATCCAGCGGCAATTTACCAAACTGAAGTCTCAAAGCATCTCAAATCCATCTAGTTTCTACCGTTTTGTTTGAACTTATTCACTAAATTTGAAGACTTTCAGAATGGTAAGAAACATATGTTAGAATCTCAATCCATACAATAATAACAAAGACTTCTTGATGATTTCACCACATTATACCAATTTCGTTTACCAGAACAAGACAAACACGTAACCAAATAACATGTCACTCGTTCTATTATTATACTTTCTTAGCCATTTGTCATTTAGTGACAGTAGGTATCCAGTGGCTTGTAAAAACAAAACCTAGCGTTCATAACTTACTTCCGTGACAAGTTGATAATTATATAGCTTGGTCTGAATTGTCTCCAGTAAAGGCAGTTTCAACTCCTTGGGGCTATTGGATTTCTCCAATATTAACCATACTCAATATAATACATACGTATCTCAATGTCAGCGAAAAGGATTTTTTTTCTTTCCAGTGTGTCTATGTTATTAATGTAAGACACACAAAACCTCGACTAGAAAATTAATATTCATTGAAAAACCAAGTTGATCATTGCTTCAGAACATGAATCTTCAATCTATGGCAGTTGGTGAAGTATTCTCATTACTCAGTTTAAAGCTAACCTGAAAATAAAAAAAATATCATCTATAATTATACTCAGGCGAGATAAGAGACATAATCACCCGTTCATGTCTGTATGTGGTAACATATTAGTTATTTTGAATTATACAAGGTCTTTCTGTTCCAAAGCGTATGTACTTTAATAAAACCAAACAGAACACTCAATTCTCAAAGATATATTTTGACAAGACAGAGAAACATATAGATCTGCGGTAAGAAGTTGACCTGTGAGCCACCGAAAATCTGCGACTAAGCCGCCAAGTGTTCGTGCCACAAGGCGCCACTGATCTGCGACTAAGCCGTTTTACTTTCCCCGACGCTCGCTAGGTGTTACTTTTACGTGATCTGGATTAAAATGTTGAAATTCAGCATTGGTCTTTTTAGTTAATAAATTCATTTGCAACCAATTTAGCAATTTGCATTAGAAGTCTACGATTCTTGGATATGGAACCTGTCAGTCTTAATCGGAGAGAATCATTCATCATCTGATATTAGTGGCACTTAAAGCTGCGGCTAACCAGTTGGTGTTATTCCAGCACCAAACGTATGTAAGAAATCGTGCGGAAAAGTGAGGATTCTATTGATTGTGGATGATATGGAATAACATTGTATTCTGTTTAAGGGACTATTATGGATTCAAAGATCTTTTATATTTTTTAAAATACAAGTAAACGTATAAGTATTTCCGGTATTTACATCGTCTTCCTCTAAACCTTTACTTCCGGTTGGATCGAATAAAGAAATTAAGCTAATGAACTATAACAATCACCTTCAATTTTACCACTGGAATAGCTCTTATTTGTTATTAAGGGCATAATAACCGAAAATATCTTTAGTCACATAGTGTAACACTTGATGATTGATTGACGTTAACTCTCCAAGAAACGAGAGGAGATGCAGAACTTAGTTTTCACGTCTTCTCCAGAATAGCTGCTAATAATGCAAGTCGTGTCTACAAATCTGTTTAGTTCCTTTCTCTATTTTCTCGACTCTGTGAATTCAATCTTTTCACATGAACTCATTTCCTGACAATATAATTGCTATGTCTGTGACAAATGACATTCGACTTGATTTCAGATGGCTAGCAAATTACACAATTGTGCCTAGTCTATTTATTTAGCTTTGTCTTAACATGGCAGATAGACGTTAGAAATCACAATACGAATTCTATCATTGATTTTTAAACTCAATTTATTTTCTTCATTTCTTTATTCCATACCCATGATACAATAGTTATTATAATATAATACCATACTTCTGATCTTTTGAATAATCAACTATTAACAAAAATTAAACGAGGATATATGTCTATCCATTAACAATTATTCTGAATTTGGGCTTTTCCAAAGATAATTCTCCCATCCAGTAAACCTGCATTACGAATACATGTATAACTAAACGGTAACGTACAGTTATAACTGATGGTCTGTGAGATTTTGGTAAATAAAGTTGTGACAATTTTTTGCCAGTCCGTGCATATGTTTTGATTCAACCGGAAGTCCAATTTTCACATTACAAATCTTTTCGGAGAGTCTGGAATAAGTATTAATGAGAAAAAATGTGCTTGATTATGCGCTTTTTAGCACGTTGTTCATTTAAGTGAAAGCAATTCCAAGTCTGAAAGGTCGGACTCAGATTGGTGTTATTTGACATTACCAGTAAATGTTTTATAAAATGGTTCAATTGGTAAGGCTAAAAGGTCAATGGAAATTAATTGCTGCAAATACCACATTTCATCCTCCAAAGCCCAATGGTATTATTGTGAAACATACACATACACATACAAATATAAATTTTCAAGTATCAATAAGATGTTTTTAATTTGTATTAATAACCAAGTTACTATAGGTGACCGCTCGACATGATTTAATTCCAGAGTTTATAGTCTTAAGAACAAATTAACTGGAGGATATTATCAACTGTGTCACGACTAACTATTGACAATTCAATTTCTCTTGTTCATTTCTAAGGATGAGGTGGTCAGTATGTGAATAGAAAACTGACCGATTGTCTTTATACTACGTGACATACTGGTAATTAACTGGACATGAAATTGACCGGAAGTTTGTTGTAGGTGGACAGTGGCCTATTAATGAAATATTCAGTTTGGAAAGATCGATGTAATCTTCGATTGACATCCTGGTACAACACAGTGCTGATTAAAACATTACGACAAGCACAGAGACAGAATTAATCTAAAAGGCTTGACAGAACCAAATCGAAGAAATTTCAAACAATTGATAATATTCTTCAATGAAGAAATTTCAGATATAATGATTTCCTCACTGAATGGTCTCTTCTGCAATTCCCTCAAATGATTCAATCAGAAATCATCTACCAGCACTTCAAACTCAATTTCATTTGGAAATATAAACAAGTTTTTGCTCCGAGAAATGTACTTTTTCGGTTGCCTGTACATGACATATTTGATGACAGTGATATGACGAGAATATATATTGCACAATATTGCTGTTCCCATGATTCATTATGGTTATATTTCAGGATATTATCATTGCGATGACAGTAAAGCATCTTGTCAATTGAAATCATTTTGCAAATCAGAAATAGCAAAATATTCAGTAAGTTAATAACACAGAATCTTAGATTGAAAAGAAACCCTCAAACATGTTCATGAACTGATTTTCTAATCGCATGGAACAATTTTAACAATCTTAGTTTGGCCCAGTATTTTGTTAAATCTGGTATTCTGTGTATCACCTCACCACTGCTCTGCCCCAACTTGATACAGACGATGATGGTGAATAGCATTTTGTAACAAGCCGCGTTATAAGGAGAGCATTGGATACGAAGAAACATTTTTTTATCAACAAACTTCTGAGGTCTTCTGTCTGATAATAACTTTTTAATGGGATTCATTCGATTTGGTACATCATGGTATTAAATGAGCTTTATATTTTTTGAAGACTGTAAAGTATAAGCTGTGTTGTAAAAGTTAATGTCAATAATACTACTGTGGAGCCGTCTACGATCTTGCTGTAATACGAATGCATTTGATTCTCGAGTTATTTTTTCTCAAAGTTTGCTTTTTCTATATGGATACTAAAATGCAGACTATTAATGATATTTTAAGAAATAATTCCTGCGCCAAAGGGATTGTTCCTAGAGATACGACTATTTGTTATAAATGATGCTGCCTTAAAATAATCTACGTGACGAGCATCTAACGAACCGATTTTTACACGCGTATGGTTTCTGATGAGCAAGGCTTACTACTGAGTATATTTAACTATACGTATAATTCAGTTGACACTTTTATTACAATTCCATAGATATTTACGTGAGTCATAAGATTTTATTGAAGTTGAAGCGGTTCGGTTAATGTATATAGTCCGGCTTAATCATATTATCAATGTCCTAAACCATTAGTCCGGTATTTGTGGAAACTCTCGAATCTGGATACTAGTTCCTACTTCAGAATTTACTGCATTTCATACAATAATCTTGTTATTCCAGACTAGTACTTTAATCAGGATAAATTAGCAATGGTACTATAGGTCAATGAATAGGCAATTCCTCTACATGACCTGCATGATTTGTCTACGACATTTATATAAAATCTCCAACATTTCTGTACAGGTCGAGTCATGTCACACAATTTGGAGTAATTCGTCAAGAAGATTAAAATGGGTTTGATTTCTGTAAACGTAAACGTCAACCTCTGTGTAATTCATCAGATGATGAGTTAAAATTCCAATTTATTGTAAAAGAAAAAGTGATTAAAGATAACCTATATAATGTAGTATTCAGATAGTTGTGATAAACTAGTTTCCGGCGTATCTGATCATGCTTTAATTAAAGTGAATCTCGTCATGCAACTCGTGGATATGTTTTAAAGATATTTTTCTTTTCTTAATACCATCTTTTTTATTTAAAAAGAAAATATCATTTTTAAAAAATAAAGCTGAGCAATTCTTTACTTTTATATGCTCTTATAAAACTGACACGCTGTTAATACGAAAGGAGCCCATGTGCCTCATCCTCATTATCAATATCATTTCTTTCAATCAGTCTGTATGAATACTCTTTTTTTTCTAGCGATAAATAGGCCTAATGAATGGGAGACCATTAATTATCCTGAAACATCCATTGAGCTAACCATGATGGAAATTGGATTTTCTTGTATTTTTTATATATCAAAGCTATAAAACAGGGTCGGATAAGAAATTCATGTCACGTTTCATCCAAATATGATATCGACTCTGAACTCTACATTTGTTCAATCAATTGAAAGTAATTGGTCAAAGATCAACAAATTGTCTTCATGAATTACACTTACTTTCGATAACACTTTTCATTCGATTGTTGCTAGTACAT